TGCGAACCAAAGAAAAGTTAGCCTGCGGCACTGTATTATAGCGTCACCACCCAGTTTGCTCGTCTTTTGAGAATTTTCTTTCCTAATTTTGATCTTCGCAAACTCTGGCGCTGTTGCTCCAGTGAAATTTGACATGTCATTTCATACAACCCGCTAGCCATTTATTATGTCTCTCCGCATTCACCTGGACCGCTATTGCCAACTGCGAGCTATGTCCCACGAGAGGATCTCACCTACACGACGCTCACGCTCTCCAACAAGGGCATCGTCTTCCGCTATGGGGTCTTCGTCACTGCAGCACCCACTCAACCGGACTCCGCCTACAACACCCCATCGACCGGTTATTTTCCAATTGGACCTGAAGCCGATGCAGCAACTTGCCGTCCGCAACCCTTACTACAACATCTTGACCCCCAAGGTCGCAGGCAATCTCTCTACGGCCACCTATGATAGCTTGTTCCAGACTTTCAAGGTGATCTACCCGGACTATGCTCGCAGTCATTTCGTTTCAGACCTCAAAACCGTGGTTACCGACACGCTGTTACAACGATGGTCGATACACCTACCAGCGACAGATTTCTACATGATGATTGACACCGATCAAGGAGCTCAGATGCTGGACGACCTCCCTCATTCTCTCCTGGACGTTTTGAACTGGTTCTACCCGACATGGAAAACTCATCAACATCTCGATGCCTTCACGACTCGGGAGTGTTCACCTTTGACGCTGACACCCCATCCAGACCCACAGGACACAGGCTTCGCTGTCCATGTTCAAGTGATTCCCCGCGGGCATCCATTCGTCACGGCCACCAGATACACTAAAGCGGCCGAGTGATTAGCCTTTGAGATAGATCTTGGCGACGCTCACGTCTATGAGAAAGAAAAAAGCACTCGTTATGATGTCCTCCACCCCGGTTTTTGGGTTTCTTTTGTCTCCCTTGCTTCTCTTCTTTACATATTGCGATGTTCGTGGTTCGTCTTTCCATCATTGACCTTTTCCAAACGGCTTTTTGGCTTCAGTTCAGTGTATCTCGATATCATATTATTGCTACTGTACATGATGACCTCCAACACGGATGATACTGCTCGATTGGTCTCAAACCGTTCCTCACCTACATCCGCACATGGCCTAGTCCCACACCTACCACCTGATGATCCTACTTCGGCATCGTATATTCCCCGAGCAGCGCGAATGATCCCAACCTCTACCACCGTCCATTCCGTCTTCATCAAGAAGCTGAGCTATCCTTTGTCTACTCGTCCGGATGAACTTTGGATCGTGGAAAGGACACTTGATGGTATTGAAACGTGGAAGCCAGTGGAAACATTTCTGGAGAACATGCACCTCCCCAACGATCGTGCTACCCTACGTACCACGGCTAACCATTGGCGCCGATACTATGACGTACCAATCCAATCACCCTCCTCCCCTACGGCAACTGCTGTTCCTGTTCTACCACACCCTGAACACTCTAACGTCTATGTCTCCCAACCGTACGAAGCGATACCGGACCAACTCCATATTTTACAGTCATGCTGGGGACGTTCCGCCCAACACCACTCTCAAGGAACCACCACCTCTTTATATTGGCCACCATGGCGGTCTACACCACCTTCTTCACCACCGGCAACATTGCAACGTACCTTACATCTCAATCGCCCTACCATCCCTCCTCAACAAGTACATGGTCCACTGGATGCGAGCGAGACGGACCCGATGGATATGTCTGACTCCAGTGTGTAATACACCACATTATTTGTCGGCATCGGAAAAAGTACAGTGATCACACGTCGATTTGTGACTACTCACTAGGTACACCGTTTCCCTCCATTTTCCAATTTCTGGGATTTATTCCTTGGTCATTGTCCTTCTATGTTGCAGCTTGGGCTTTCTGCTTTATACTCGAAACTCGACATTCAACGCCATGGCTCATTCGACTTGGCCCCATCCATATCGCGCTACAGCTACGGTTGAGACACCACTGGGCACCCGAACCATTGGATGGTTTGCTGGACCCCGAGGACTTCCTGGGCACGTGAACCCTCCTCCAAACCGACCTGTCCTTATTTTGATTGACTACTCTCCCTTACAGGAACTGACTCATCGCAGCGAACCTGACCGTGAACACTACATGGCTTTGGCTAGTTCAAATCTCAAAAATGTTAGTGGCTACGAACTTGAAGCTCTGTTCACCTGGTCACGTCAGATGGGACCAGTGGAAGCCGGCCTCCTTCCCACTGGAGAACTACGTTTCTGCATTTCAAAAAGATTGAGGACCCAATGGGACATCCAGTTTGACCCTTCGAATTTGGAGTTTCGCTATTGCGACCTGGAAGGTGATACATTCCAAGTCCCCAATGATATGACGATCTTGCAGCTTTTGGAGGAATACCGACCCGAATGGCGACTCCGACAGTACAACTACTTCGAATCCTCCTTGCTCGTCCCGGGTACCTCACAGCCTTTCGTGCTACGTCTGCGATGCCACAAAGTTACCCCCGGTGTGATCCTGCCCTGATACGCTCACTGGCCAAAAAAGACCATGCTCGAGGGTTTTTCGTTTTACCTATGACACTTTTTCAACACGAAGGATTCTTTGATTTCCATTTTGTTAGGCTTTGAGCTATGGCCTTTCCGTGAACCTTGAACCACTTGATGGATGACTGGACCTCACTTTTTCATCGTTATGGTTATTATTATTCTTGGGCTTGGCTTATGTTCGCAATTTCATGATGCCTCAGCTTTTGTCGCACCATTTCACGCATTTCTGATCGTTTCACCCATGGAGCATAAACGAGACGCTACCGTGGCGGGCTTGGCTTGGCCTTCGAATCCCAACCGTGGACTTGCTCCCACCAACCCAGATCAAGCACCAGACGCCCCGGCTTCTGCACTATGTCATTCTGGTCTTCCTGATCCTACTACTGGGACCCCTTCGGCACCTTTGGCAGCTGACAGTACAACTACCGACATTGGAACTATGGTCCATTCTGATACATATTCAGGCCTCGCACCTCCTGACGTCCCTTTTCCGACGGAGCAAAGTCCTGCATACCACTACCTCCATCGTGCTCACTTCTCTTCCCGCGTGGTTCACCAGATCCAATTCAAGATCATTACCCACTCCAACAATACCAGGGAGCTATTCATTGAAGAGATCCCCTTGTCAGGGCTTTCCAAATGTCGTGATCCTGAGCACTACTTTTACGGTCTTTCGGGCAACTGGGAGTGGTCACTGCGCACAGCGGATTATTGGCGACATCATTTTGAGATTCCTCTAGTACATGGACATCATCCTTTTCACAATGTTCCCATTGAGACCACGGCACCTACGGAGGCAAGCCACTTTACTCCGAAGATCCAGGACCTGGCCCAACAACTTTCAATCACTTTGAGGGCTGCTATGGCATCGGGGGAAATCAACGACACGTGGAGGATGCTTGAGGACATGAGCTTCCGTGACGCGATCCAAACACTTCAAGCTGAGACGAACCTCCCTTCTGAGTGACTGAACGCGGCTCTGTACATTAGCACCGGAAAGGTTTTTGTATTTGAATAATCTTGCCGACATTTGCTGCGTTGGTCTTCCAAAAAATCAAACCCCGCTACACGCGGGGTGTGTGTGTGTAACATCTGAACAGATGTAAAACTTCTTTGATTCGAACCTGTTCACTTTTGCAGGGAATCCTTTCACATTTGCAGGGGGTGGATGCATGGTCTGGCAGTCATCCACCAACGAAGACACTGCCTTTCCATGGTGATATGACGAAGGGACGCCTTTGTCACGTACCTGCTTTTTTCGGACATAGCAAGGGGCCAAGCTTAGAACCCCAATCACACTATTACATAATTTGCTGCACTGTTGTCGCAATCTGGAATTACCTTTGGTCATTTACTATTGGTTTCGTTGCATCAGAACCTTCCTCAGAGCAAGGACGTAGAAAACATACTTGGAACAATCTGTTTACATGATCGCCGACACCATCGTCGCCGACAGTTATTTATTTATTGGCTAAGCCTCGCCGAGACATCGCCGATGACATTATTGCTGGTTTATTTATTCTTTTTGATGGCGATTCTGAACCCGATGACCATTCTGAAGTACTTCCATTATTCGTAGGATGCATCGTTAATTTCATTGTTTCGTATCTAATCTGCATGTTTCAGGATTCAGTTCCTGCCGGATCATATAATGATCCATTCTTGTCTAGTGTGTGTAGATGTGCGTGTGCATGCCCACACCGGCAAAGGCTGCCAAACCATCGAGCAGTTAGGCTAGTGGGAGTAATATTCGCAATATTGACATGAATGGTGAGTCATCGCCGGTCACTTTTTTTGAGGATTGACGTGGATGAGGCTGGTTCATGCTAGGGTGGGTAGCTCTCCAGTTGCATTCTGCCAATTTGCCCCGGGTCTGAAAGCATCAAGTTGGAGCCTGCCTTTATAATATTCAAATCAGTGACTTTGCTCGATGTGTTAATGTCACCTTTGTCACCTTGTAAAAGCAGAAAAATGGGAGAGATGCGTCAACAGGTTACACAATGGGTTTGGTTGCTGGTCTCAGTGACGACATGGGATGTCCGAACATTGGGTACAGCTGCATCCAAGACTATTCCAATCTTTAGTCAGTCATTATGGTCAAATATTGTCAATATTGAAAGGGCCACTTTGGACACCCGTCATTTTCGGAGAAACCCACATTCGCAAGCATTTTCTGCATTCTTCTGGCACTTGGTGAGGCATACTTTGAAAATTGCGCCAGTTTATTTAAGGCAAGACATGACAAGTGAAAAGTTTGTGTTGCTGGGTGTTGCCGGGTGTTTGCACGTTAATGTATTCTTGGGTCTTCTTTGATGCTATCGATGATGGACGGTTTATGACATTATATTACATACGTTGGCATTTTGATTTTCCCGCAACCATAAGATGCAGAACGCCTCAATGCATTGCATGTCAACAGACAACCACATGTGGACTTCTTAAGTTTCCGTGACAGGCATTCTTGAAAAGTCCGACCCTCAGTTTTGGTACTATGAGGAGCGATCAATGCAATTGATGGAATGCATCATATACACCATTATTAATTATATCAATGCACATTCCCAAATACAGTTCACAATATAGAGAGATAGAGTGAGCATGCCTTGGCAGTCCGATTGAACGCGCAGTCAGGTCGCGGATGTCTATACTTACAGGGAATTCGCAGACATAGAGACCTCCTGGCCGTTGGGTTGAAGGGCGCATGGCGGTGCAATACGTTGCAAGAATAAAGGATCGGAAAAACGCCCCATGGCGTCGCAATGTCTCAAGATTCATGCAATGTTCAAAGGTGAAACATGTCATAATTGCATATAGTAATTGCAAAATGCATGTGTATTTGTTAATGTTTATTACATGCAGCCACACAGGCAGTCTTCCTGATAGACCCCTGAGACCTCGAGTTGAATGTTTTGTGTGCCAAGGCTTCAGGCAACTGGAGGCAAGATCTGCGTTTGACAGATGTGACCCAAATAGACCCACCATGCCAAACTTCCAAAGGCCGCCAGAGGTTTCTGTGCAGCATCCCACCACCAGTCTAAGTTTAAAGTTTAGGATGCTGCAAAGCTCGTCCACATCCTCGCACCTGCAGTTTCCTCCAATTCATCACTATAGATTTTTTTTGAAATATACATACATGAAGACTCTCGTTCCTGGAGGATGCTATACTCTTTTTCTGTGGTAGATATGCAGTTGCAGGTTCCATCATTGATGGTTTTGCCATGTTTTGCCCTACTATTTGTTTGACTTTGCACTTCTGCTTCTTGCCCACACGCAGTCTTAAGCCTCCACAAATTTGTGAGGCTGCTTGCTGAAGCTCAACAAACAGCTTGAGCACTTACTTGGACTGTTTCAGTAGGTCAGGCCACCACTCGCGGAATGGTGCTGCTTTCATGGAGCCTTGCGTAAATTGAGACAGCAAAATGGCTTTGCGAGTCTTGGGGTGGTGACTGGCGGTGCAAACTGTTTGTCATGTTCCAGATTGATGCTGAGTGGGAAAGCCTTCAAACATTTTTGATATTTGGGATACTGGCTGCCAAGCCGCCATGAAATGGCATTTCATCGGAAGATGCGGCCAGTCAGGGACTTGAGACATGTCTCAGCGGAAATCAAACATGCTTCTACTTCCAGCTGCAGCTGTTAATGTTCAGTAAGAATGGCAGGACTCGGATGAACTCGGTATTATTTGCGAATTGACGTCCTGGAACCCAAGAAACTCAAGAAGTTGCGTTTGGAAGACTGTGCAGATACATCCGGGAGCTTCCAGAAATAAATGGTTGTCTACTGCAGCCACGTTGAGCCATGCGCTGTGCAATGCTTTCTTTCTGATCTTCTCTGCGCTGCCTCGAAATGCCGCTGAAAGTATCCAGACTCAATGGGCACTCACAGCCTTGCTTCTATCCTGCAGAATCTGAGATCTTAATTTTGATTGCGATATTTGGAGCATTTGGACGAATGATTGGCTTTGTGATGCTTTGTGCAAGTAAACGCTTTGGTTATTTCTCGCTGCAAGACGCATATATGTGATCATATACAGTATATGTTTCCATACGCATATGGCATATGTATTAGAGAGATAGAGAGAGGGAAAGATATGTTCAATGGCCATTTCAGGATCCTAAATTGGAGGTACCTACCATATATAAGGCCTATGTAAGGCCTATGTAAGAGAATATCCCCCCAAAATATGGCCTTATATGGTACAGTACCTCCATTTTAGGATCCTGGAATTCCCATTGATATGTGTGTGTGATTCTACGAAAAGCACTATATATTTATAATATATGTATGTATGTCAGTGTAGGCCAATTATGACAATTATGAAGGAGGGGTGCAAAAAATTCATGGAACATGCATCAAACACTGTAAAGGGATAGGGCCCTCCCACAAACCGATAGCCGTAAAACATACCACAAACATGTGTAATTAATCTGTTTGTATCATTTTTTTTGCAGTTCTTTTCCCCTTCTATTATTTATGCTCCTTTATTTATCCTTGTTTTCCTTTTTTCCTCTTCACTTTCAGTTTTTTCCTTTCTGTTCCTTTAAGCCTTTCCCTTGTCCGTTCTCGTTCTGTTCCGAACTTTGAGTTCGGTGGGATACGATTCATTCCTGGACTCGGAGTCCTCTGAAACGACTTGTCCGACTTGTGGTGGTTATGTTTTGGCTCCTGACACCTTATTTCCTATTGTTTGACTTGCCCGTCTCCGTTGGTTTCTCACCATAACAAAAAATAAACGCCATTCAGTTCTGAATTGAAGCAATTTTGCCTCTAAATCCAATTCCGGATTCGGTTTATTTCCTGTTTATTTTATTCAATTTGTCCTTTCTTCTTCCTTTGTTTTTTGTTTTATTTTTCTTTTTCCCTTTTCCTTGTTTGAACTAATAAAGGCAAATTAATTCCGAATTATATAAATCAAACCGTGTTTTGGATCCAATTCTGAAGTGTGGTTATTTCCTGTCTATTCAATGTGTCATTTCTTCTTCCTTTGTGTTCTTTTCTTTCTTTCCTTTTTCCTTTATTTGCGTGTTTTCCTTTTTGTTCCACGTTCTTCTTTCTTTTTCTTTCTTGATCATCAGGGTGTTCTAAATGAGCGATACCTTAGCGATAACCTAGCAACGGAAAAGGATCCCCGCACCAGGGATAAACTCATTAGAGCATATTAGAGCCAGGGATTGGCCTTTGAGGGGTCTCTCCAAGTTGACCCAGTCACTACGAATCCAATCGATTTATCAATGATTTCGACACGCACACAGGGACAGGCTGCATGAAAACCGTTAAGGTATGCAGCAGCCTCCTGAACCAGCATGACATTGATGACCTGAATGTGGATGCTTTGACTTGAGATTTTGAAGCCTTTGGTGATGGGTGTCCGCAGAACATTTTGGGGCATGAGATCTAGCTGCAGAGTCAATTGGTCAAACAGAACAGAGACCGCCTGTGTGTGTGTGAGTTTTCTGTGAGTCTGACCACGCTGTTGATGTTTCAGAGTATTTCTCTTTCTGTGCTGACTTCAGGAAAGAATGACACATGCTTGGCAATTGCGTGAAAGGGAGTTCCAATCAGCCTTCTCTCATTGTCAGCAATTGCTGTAATTGAACTAAACGAATCGCCAAGCTGCCTTTTTGAATGGCCCTTTCCCATTGCATGTTTAGTCGTCGGGATTGCTTTAGAAACGCATTCATGACAGCCTTGATCACTGGGAATTTGAGGAACGCATATTTATGCCAAAGTTACCGCCAAAGATGAAGAAGCACCTTTTCCTAAAGACTCCAAAGTTGAGGGCACACATAGCAACAAAGCTGCAAATGCAAATCAAAGACGGTCTGGTGTCTAGGTAAAGGAGATTGTGAAAGGGCGAGTGTACAGTATATAGATAGTAAGTGGGAAACATCACTTTCAGGAGGCACGCTTCTTGCCTCAGTTGAACAGCCCACTGCTGTTGAAAACTGCTCCTTACGGTGTCAGCCGAGGCCAAGCAAGCACAACAGCTACTGGATGTAGCAAGGCTCAACGGCCCAGAAGCCGTGCAAGAGAAGCTGGGCTGTGACAATGACGGCCACAGCACAGACAAGTCATGGCACGTCACGGATACTTTAGCGACCACATCCACTGCTCAATATTGGCATCGCAGAACCCAACTATTATAATATACATATTTAATCGTATTATATCGTATTTATATATTTGTTTGCATGAATATCGATAATAGAACGCGTATCATGGGTCAAGACAGGCCAACCATCACGGGGCTTTGCTTCGAACATGAGCTTAAGAGCTCGTGGCAGTGGGAAGTGGGAAATGGCCTTGCAAGGCTGGATTCCTGTATTGATGTCCTGCAACCGTGGTTTGTGGGACTACAGGAGTCAACCACCAAGGTATACTGTAACAGAAATGAACTTGGAGCAACTGGAAACAGGTTCCCGGACAGTGTGTGATTCAGCGCGATGCATAGCTAAGGATGAAAAGTGCACTTGAAGGAGGAGCTTCAAGTAGCAAATGGCAAGCGCACAACGATGCATGAATCGTTGGATATGCCCGAAGATTGCGAGAGCGAGAAAGAGAGAGAAAGAGAGAAAGAGAGAGAGAGTCAGATATTCCAAAACCCACCAAAATATAATATAGTTTTGATTATTCTCACATGGTGCAGTTACTTTTGCCTTGCCCCTGGAGGACTAGAACAGCTGAACCACGAAGCAGCGTTTTGGCCGCACCAGGCAAATTCATTGCTGATGATGTTGAAAGCATGGTGGAAGACAGAAGTCATTGTGTTGACACAGATTGTGAATCGATCGTTTGGCATGCCGATCATCATTTGCAAGCTGCACTTTTTCAACAATACAACACAGTCATCAACCGGGATGCCTGGTTGAAGTTGGAGGTCCCTGCAACATCCTGCGACATCCCTGCAGTGTGCCTGCAGAGTGGCTAAGGACTTGCACCCACTCGAATTCAAGAAGTCGCTGAAAGAGCTCGAAACGATTGAAGCAATCACGAAGGTGCCGAATCCGGCTCCTTCAGATAAACCCCCGCGCGGTTCCATGTTGCTTTGTTCAGCAACTGCGCCTTCTAATTTTCGCATGCTAGTATCTCATATATCCATGTTTGTCCAGCCAATTGCCTGAGGCTGACTCGGTGCCAATACTGGGATTGACCTTCTTGTCACCAAGCGATGCCCACCGCAGCAAGCCTGAACTTCGGGCATTTCTGTAGACATCCCGCCGGATGGCTCCTCAACAGAAAGGGGAGCTGACTCCAGCTGTGAATGCGCAAGAAGTCTGCAGCTTCTGTCATGTTTTGTCAAACTACCATTGCAACCGTGGCTTGGCTTCTCTTGACATGGGTGTCAGCACATCCCCAAACCTGCTCCATCATTGAGAATTGTGAGCTGCATGTTGTTGTTGGCTCAAGGGTGAATCGAAGGAAGGCGCCGTAGAAAGAGCGCCTGAGGGGGAAATATGGGAAAGGTGCCAAGGTCACGACATCACAATTAATGACCTATTTCTCAAGGCTTGATTCCAGAGAGCCGCTCAGGCAGGCTATGTAAAAGGTTAATTAATGATAGTATGCGATGGCAAAAGGCAAGGCCATCATGGATTCCAAGAATCTGGATCCGGATTGTCTAATTATATATATACACCTATTTTAGGGCAGGATGGACGGTGATGGTGCTGGTGCTGATACGTCTCCGACCCTTGGCAAGACCGTCTCAAAGGGGATTGGGGCAGTTGACCGCGTCTCTGTTCGCATTGTAAACATAATATGGTAGAATGTTGCACGTGCTGCTATGGCGTGAATCTGCAACATTTTTCTTCCCACTGTGAAGGTCCAAGAAGATGAACGGGGACTAGGTGAGTACTTCAGATTTGCCTTGCCTTACTTGATAGATCAATGAACCCGCCATGATTTCTGAGCTTGGCTTGCCATAAGGACTCCGAAGCAGGAATGCAAGTCGCGCAGTGATGAGAGCAACGGAACTGAAGAGGAGGCCTAAGAGGGCCGAGTGCGGCGAATGGGGAAGCTTCATCCAGCTGATCCACCAACGTCCACATGATTATTGCATTGACAACTGGGGATAGGCTATAGGATATTAGTGGATAATTATACAAATGGATATTATAGCATATTAGCATATTATAGCTAAGACTGATTAAATTGGGCCGTTGACCTTACAATTGTTATGTGTTCGTCGCAATTGGGTGGGGCTAGATTCAGATGCAGCACCTACACCTATATTTTATTGTATGGCATTGAATAATACTCCGATCTGGAGCCTGTCATTGGCAACGCAATCCCTGTGATTCTACATTCACTTCGCCTTGGATGAATATACACTCATATGCCAAGAGCTTTTTGGGGGTTGAGCTAGAGATAACAGGAAGCCTGTGACCTTTCCAATTGCATGAAATTGCCTTTGAGACTTTTGAGGGACAGCCACACATCAAAGGATGGCTGGACTCTTCAGGTTTGGGTGTTGCAGTCGGCAATGAGGCTGACAAGATTGCGCTACCACAACCGAAGAAGGCCAATGATAGACCACGAGGCTGGATTATATATTATATATATAAGTTCTGCCAAATCATGCCAAGTCTAACTATTTATATGAAGTTCTGCTGCGCAAAATCTGCTTGTTTGCTCATACCAACTCTGCACATGCTTGAAGAGTTTCGATCTCCCAACATTCTTGACACGCAACATGATTCAGATTTAGCGTGTCTCTTTTCCTCAGTTTTCACACCGTTTGCAAGCGTGTTTTAGAGGGGGTCCCCCGTTTATTGATATTACTCGTGAACTCACCCCGCCCGATCCAAAATCTTGCGTTTAGTTGGGGGGGACTTCCCGGGAAAGTCGCCCCAACATGCGTTTACTTGCTGTGGAGCAGTTGCGTAAGATAGAAAACGATGCTTTAGAAGTAAATATTGCTTCATTTAGCTTGTGTTTACACTGGTGAACTTATTTTTGTCATGCCTGGCTCATTCATGTGACCTTCGAGCAAATCCAGTCACGTGTTTACATGTCGCCCTGCCGGGGGGGTGCCTTTCTAGAGTAGTTGCATCGATTCATCTAATTACAGTAGATGCTGGCCTGCAGCTAGGCTGTTGTCGGGCATCCTGGGCTGCTGCTAAATGGCTGGGGGATATCACCACGGGCAGCGTGCAAACTGCTGCTGGGCTGCTGCCAGACTGCTTCTAGACTCCTGCTAGGCTTGCTTCCTGGCTGGTGGTAAATTGCTGCTAAAGCTGAAGGGTTTCCAAAGCTATTTTCTGGCCTCGTTCGGGCCTCGTTTTGGCCTCGTTTCTGGCCTCGTTCGGAACCCGTTGCAGAAATATTGAGTTGAGATGTAAATCAGAACCCCATAGATTTGTTACCAAAACATACCAAAACATACATGAATCATGCGCTTACATTGTTTTTTGAACCAAAAGATGACATTTCTTAGATACACTTATTATTCTTTGAACATTCGAATTAGATGCGTTTTGCAACCAAAAATTTTATTTTACCCAAACATACATGAATCATGCGTTCAAATGATGTTTTGATATTGAAACATGTCATGTTGTTAGTAATTTACCATAGTTTGAAACCATTGGGGTGACTTGCGTTCTCATGGTGTTTTGCACATTTGGGATGTTAGTTTTTTAGTTTTTTTATTTTCGTGCTGCGTTTACAATGGGCGAAAAAGTTGGGGTGACTTTTCCTAGCAGTTGTGCGTAGTTCCATGCGGGAATGACAGTTGACTGCAACGTTGGGGGGCCTTCGCCGGCATGGAGAGTAGTAGTCCGCAACCCGCAACCTCCCTTTGTTCCCTTTGTTCTACAGGTGTGAGTCGGAGCCATGTTAGACTTGCCTGCTATTGCCATTCAAGTTGCATTGCGCAAACGCAGTGGTACAAATGAAATCGTGGCAGAAAATGGCAAAAACTCCAAAGATCTCCACGGGAACTGTTCAAAGATTAGTTTCTCATTTCACCTCAACCAACTATATATTGTATATGAAATTAAGCCAGCGCGTCCAGAGTCCAGAGCCTATCTAGGATAGGTCTTTTGAAACAGAACTAGGTGGGAATCTAAAGACATATTCATGGAAGAGTGTTATACAGCTGGGTTTAAGATGTGCACACAAAACTCATAAGGCCATAGCGAAACAATGCTAATTGCGAAGTGAAAATGCAGAAAATCATGGTGAAACACGGGCCGTGGAAAGACCTGCTAGAGTTTCAAGTCGTGGAAGGATCTATGCAGAACATGGACTGGGGCTTTCAAAAGCTTGAACGGACACGTCAAAAACGGAAATCTGTCAGAATTCCAGGGTTTCAATCTAAATCGTCCTGATGTCGCAAAAGTTCAAGAACATGCAATTTTGATGTTATCCAGAAATAGGTCTTTAGTTCCCCAACGGGTCTCAGGTAGCGGTAGAGCCTTATCCTGAATAGGACTTTGGACTTTCAGGTCGAAGGCGAAAAAGGACGATATTTGAATTGCGAATAATCCGTATAATTGTTCAAAGTCATGCGAAGTCTAGGTTTTGTTATCCCTAAGACATTCTAAGACCACAGGCATTCCATAGGCACTCAGGATGGGTTACAGATTTGTGGCACTTGTGACTTGTGGCAGACACGAAATCTAGCCACCCATAGCCAATACACACGGAGCACCGCACCAGGTGTGAAGCGTGCACTGGCTCCAGAGGGAGATCCTTCTGGTAGTCCCACGACGCGTTCACGAAACTTCGCCGAAGAGGGAAATGTTGGAGATTCCTGGAGTTTTCATGAATATCTTTGAATAAAGATGAATGAAGGTCGGCATGAAAGCCAGCCGATGCATTTGCTTATTACAAATTATATCAAATTATCATACAGCCATACATGGCAATCAGAGGCAGTGTGCGAGCAAGTTCTTTGCAAAGGGATTTCTTTCCTTTCCCCACCTTCCCCACTGTTTCCCAGCCTTGGAACATCTTAGACTCTTGAGGAAGACGTCAGACTCTATCCTCTGAAGCTCCCACGGAGACAGAGGAGGCTGAGAGAACCAAGATGAAACAAACGCATCCTGCAGAGTTCTGTTGTTTCATTGAGTCTTAAATCGGTCTGGCAGGGTGCCGTCTCGAAAGATCGCGAGATTCGACGTTTGCAGCGCTTTGACTGAAACCAGGAGCGGATGCTGTTAGCATGTTGATACATTGTTTGCCGGAATTTGCTATTACAACCGAGGCAAGAGTTGGCGGAGCAGAAGCATCAGATGCAAAGCCAGGCTATTATTGCCAAGAAAGGCGGGTGCGCGATCTTCCATGAAAGGGAAAAGCGCCATTGCAGTAAATGCAGAGAAATGTCTTGAAAGATGAGATGACCATTGCCACCCGCCGCCAGGATTCGCTGTCATGTGTTTTTTTGATGTTTTTTGATGTTTCTTTATACTCCATATATATCCATATAGAGGGGGCAGAGAATATGGATACCCAAGGTCCTTGTAAGGAGCTATGTTTTGAATTGACCATTCCTATCAATGCATCCATCCCGTGCGAAAGTATCTTGCGAGTTTGCGAATACATTTGTTCGAAGGAAAATTGCGAAAGTTATATAGGTATGAAATCATTGTTTAAATACTGTACAATGTGCTTTTGTAGGGATGTGTAGTTTGACATTTTTCGGGATACAGTTCGAGCGCTGGTTAAGAATCCGAAAGCTTGAGGTCCAGGGTCCCTCAAATTCTTATGTTTAAATGCAGGCGAATTTACACCACAACAGGCCGAGGGTCCCTCAAATTAAATTCTTAGGGCATTCTTAGTTATGTATTGCATGCATCTGCACAAGTTGGAGCAAGTTTAAGCGAGGTAACAAGGTGGAGTTGGCAGATTTGACAAGAGGCATGCGAAAAAATGATTTTTTAGAGCTTGAAAAATTGATTTTTGCAAAGCCGGGCTTGTCCGAGTTTCATGAGAGCAGTACGGAAAAAAAAACAATTTTTTAGAGCCTGATTTTTTTTTTGTAAAGCCATGCTAGTATGATTTTTTTAAGGTTAGCGCGCAAAAAAACATGTTTTTGGAGTCTGAAAAGTTGTTTTTTTTGCAAAGCCGAGCTTCTCAAGTTTCATGAGAGCAGCGCGGAGGAAAAAACAAATTTTTTAGAGCCTGAAAAATTGCGTTTTTTTGCAAAGCCATGCTTGTATGAATTTCACAAGGTTAGTGCGCAAAAAACATTTTTTTAGAACCTG